CGGGGGACAATACTCAAAGAAGGAGAGGTTACTCACCCTGTCCAGTAACTGTAGTTCTTCAAGATGTGTGTCCCTAGCGATGCTCCACTACCCGCCCTCCTTCCCCTCTGCTTTGGAGTTTCTGCTATGGAACTTTGCAGTAGAGAAGCAACTGAGGGTGGTTTGCCCATGCAGCTCTATATAGCCTTGGTGTGGCACATGGAGTTGTGTAGGGTTCATGTGTGTACTGAACAAGCACTACTACTTAAAATCTTACCAAAAGCGCATGTGCACCTGCAGTGGAGCACCTATAAGACGACACATTTTGAAGAACTACTGTTACCGCACACTGTGAGTAACCTTTTCTTCTGCTAGCATAACTCCATTGGCTAAATTTTAGTTACCCTAGCAAAGAATTTGGTCTGTTTATTCCAATTCACAATTATTGAGATCATCCTAATCAGACAATTCCCTAATAACTATTACCTTTCCTGTAATCTGCACCTCTGTATTATTGTTCTACTCTGGTTTTGTTGAACTTTCACTGCATGTACTGTGTTTATTGATTTATGGTGCTTGGTTACACTTATGTGAAGCTGTTTTCTGTTCCAAAATTGGTACTGATTCCATTCTTTATATTTGTTAACTCACTCAGTTTCAGTTAATTTTGCATTGGTGGTCACATCAATAAATACCAGTTTCATTAAGGTTCTGTGCCTTCCACTTGCTGCAACTAATTTTGTATTATTTACTTGGTGTTATGTTTGCTTCTCTATTTTGAGTAGATATATGAATAAATTGATTATAGGTCTGATCCTTTAAGGCAGTGGTTCTCAAACTTGGGCCGCCGCCGCTTGTTCAGGGAAAGCCCCTGGCGGGCCAGGCCGGTTTGTTTACCTGCTGCGTCCGCAGGTTCGGCCGATTGCGGCTCCCACTGACCGCGGTTCGCCGCTCCAGGCAGTGGCGTGGGCCAAGGGACGTGCTGGCTGCCCTTCCTGCAGCCCCCATTGGCCTGGAGCGGCGAAGCGCAGCCAGTGGGAGCCGCAGTCAGCCGGACCTGCGGACGTGGCAGGTAAACAAACCTGCCCGGCCCGCCAGGGGCTTTCCCTGAACAAGTGGCGGCCCAAGTTTGAGAACCACTGCTTTAAGGTGCTGAGCTGTTGTCTCCCACAGAAGTTCATGAGAGTTGAGTGCTCAGCACTTCACAAGATATGGCTATTCACTTGTAATATTTAATCTTTGAGCTTTGAATATACTTGGTGGTGGTGTTACACTCTGCTAACAGTGGATAGTGGCGGTTTGACTCAGGGCATTCTCTCACCAGGATTCAAATGCTGGGCCAAATGCAAGGCATGTGATTAGAGTAGGGATTTTACAGACCAACAGAAACAATTAGGACTGTTCATTGGTTTTTATTAGATTACATGCAACATTGTGCAATTATTCATCAAATAATTTAACTTTTAAAATATAGTTTTATTGTTCATCATCAAAATTTGTGTAAAGTGTTCCATCTATCTGTGTAGATGTTCTCAAATCCTGCAGTCTTTATTCATGCAAATCTCTGACTTCAACATGGAATGAAGGATTTGACTCATCTATTTTTTACTTTGTTGAGTGAAGTCTTACTTATACAATTTCACTGTGTGTGTATTTCTGACTCCTTGTCTCTCTCTCAAAATTGTTAAATCAAATGATTGTTGTGAAGAGCACAGTAAACTACACTGTGTTAAAATACATCTTGGTTTTCTTGATATTCAGAGTGTGGTTTGGCCCCCCAATCAGCCATGCCTAGAAATACCTATTCAAGAGTTTGGGGTTGTTGTTTTTAATGTTTTATTTGTCCACAGAACATGTATATCATGGACACTGGCAATGTAAGTTTTCCCATACACTCTGTTCCTCTCCCCAACAAACACAATATATTTCAATTCTTACCTGCAGGGCCAAGGCACCTTGGTTCTCATGCCTATTCAGTACTGGGCTATTTTGTTGAGTCTGTCAGAAAGGGTTCTAGACTGTGGTAGAGGCGTTAACATGGATACCTCTCTAAAAGGAACTGGACTGAAGCCACCCAGTCTCTTCATCACATGGGCCACCAAACAATGATCAGACGATAACTGTTAGTCATGGAAGACCCAGGCCTCGATTTTCACCAGTGACCTCGAAGTGAAAAATTCTGTTGTCCCCTTACTTGTCCCTAATCATTCTGCCTCTCCCACCACATGCACAGGTTTAATGCTTTTAGGAAGATTGTTTTGTCTGATATATCCTTGTGGGGGACCAAAGTAGTCCTTAAAAGGTGACCAATCGAGTATTTATTAAAAAATGGGCTTGTGCTGGTATTTACATCTTTAGTATGTATATAAAAAGACAAAAAGTTGAGGGAGGGAATTGCTTTTGTTTTGACATAAATATATCAGGAATGACAAGTATGGTCCTCCCTTTTAGCTAGAGGAATTCGGGGATGTCTCAGGGAAGTTTACTGTGAGCTAAAGAATTAAGTCAAGGGGTGAGCATATCAAGTATTTCACAAAGAATTATTTTATCCAAAATATTAGTTAGTTATTAAAGTTAACTAGGAATTAATAAAAAAGAGCTTTAAACAGTCCAATTAAAAATTCCTTTCCCTTTTAGATACTCAGCTTTCACTTAGCTCTTGTGATGTCATCCTTCCAGTAGTTCTTTAAGTAGAATAAAGAAGAAAAAAATGCAGAAGCCAGTTTTTTTTGAAAATTCTTTGCAGGTTATCTGATTGATCTTGAAACTTAGTTCATGGGTGTCAGTGTAGTTTAACAAATTTTGATTGATATCTCCATTGGTTATAGAAGTTATGATTAAGTCATAAATCAACTGGTAAATTCTCTCAGATCTAATGTGTGATTGCTTGTCATTTCCACTAGGTGGACCTCCTGATCTGAGTCAAAGATTTCTTACCAGCATAATTGACTTATTCAAGAATATGTGAAACTAATGAATATTTTCTTTGATGAATTTGCAAGGTTTTGAAGATTGTATAAAATACAAATGCTTTTTTTTACTTTGCATCTGTATGTTGTAAAAATAATACACATGTAGTTGCATTTTTTTAAAAAAGCTGCCCTGACTAATATATCGTTAATATTCTTTTGTGCTTATAATACTATATTTTTCAGAACCATTTTCTTCTCAAGATAGTATTTATTAATGAGGGCTTAGTGGGAAGGTGAATCACTGCTGAACTAAAATGTTTTGCTCAACTCCAAACCTGGTACCTAGATTGCAAGCGTTTAGGGGTAGGTATTGTCTTTTTGTGCTGTTTGTACAGCACCATGAAGTCATGGTCCCTGACTAGGGCTATGAGGCATTATGATAATACAAATAATAATAATAAAAGTGTACAATCCACGATGCTTGTTTATACTGCAAGGCTCATCTATTTTCCCTCTCAAATTAGAAAAAGTATTTCTTACTGAGAGGTGTTTCCTTAGTTAATGTTTTCACTCTTTCCCTGTATTACTCCTGAATTTTCATTCATTATATTATGACCGTCAAATATCAGAACTTGTGGTTGGATTATTCTAATAAAAATGTTAAAATACCAGTTAGCATGATATAGATTTCCATGATGAGGCTACCAAGTTCTAAAATCGGGTAATTAAAGAGACAAATCATTGGATTAAATCATGATGTTTACTCAGGGACTTAGACTTAGATCTATGTGACCAATATTTATGAGGTTATACAAAATTAAATCTAGCTAGACATTAAGCTGAACTGTTCAGCAGGTGTTTAGTCCTGCCTTAGACACATGCCCTGCAAAGATCCACAAATGGCTTCTAGCAATGGCTGCAACTAAGTATATTATCAGTATGTCCTGTACATTCATAACTCCTATTATTGTGGAGGGAGTACAATAGATCGTTGTATTTAAATGAGACATTTCACTCCAGTGCTGATCGCTGGAGAACCAAAAGCAATTAGTCCATCCATTAGATGCATTAATTCTGCACACCATCCTGCAGTCATTTATCAGGAGTCTATATCCATAATTCCCTTTACCTTTTATCTGTTTGCTTATTTGTTTTCATGTCTTCATTGGGGTCCTTTCTGCTGGCTTGAGGTTGACATGTCTTACCCAAAATTTTTTACTCTTTTTTAAAACTTTTACAAAGGGTAGAACATGAAACATCTATGGACAAAATTTTGCCTTGTATGCATATGTGCCACTTCTATTACAGTCACTAAAGAAACAGAAAAACAAACACGGCTACCCCTCTGATATAAAGAAACAGAATATCTTATGCAAGTATCACTCACATTTTCTTCAATATTACCTACTGTTAACATTATCACTTACATATTTATGAATTTTAGCCAAATCCTGTATTCCTTACTTAGGCAAATCTTCTAATTGTTTCTGGATTTTGTTAAGCGTTGTGGCCTATCTTGCTTATAGTTTTTCATAATCATTTCTGTTAGGTTTGTTTTTAGTAATTATTAGTAGAAGTATCTTTTTTCCTCATCAGGAAGTTATCAAATCTCACGTACATTTTATTAGAAAAAGAATACAACTATCAATAGTTTGATAGTCAATTAAGTGTATTTAACAGTTTATCTATGTCATGTTTAAATTTGCCAAAGCTTAGTAATTTTTTACTGTAGTGACGGACTACATTTCTTACAAAGGGCCAGGTCCTCAGCTGTTGTAGAATTACTCCAGTTGTAAGCATCTGGTCCAATATCTTTTCTCCACAAGGTGGGAAGCCCATTGTCTAAATTCCACTGATCAATGGTCTCCCAGACTGTGTGCTGACTTCTGTGGTGCAGGAAATCTGGCCCATAATAATTACAAATCCTCTCCCCTTCAATCCCACCCAGGGAAAAAAGCAATTTAAAAGAAGTGCGCTCATTTCCTGCAATAAGTAGTCATTTAATTAAAGAACAAAATTAACAGGAATCAAAAATGTTGCAGCTGTGTTTTCGTTAGACATTATATAAAAAAGAAAGAAATTATAATACATTAAATCATTTTGTATAACATGAACGTAAGTGTTTTACAAACTAATTGTGATTAGTTCAAAATGTCTTGTCAACATAATACTGAATGACAGTGCGTCATGTCCATTATGTCAGAGGCCCTGGAATGGTAAAGCCTGTACATGCACAACATCTCCTTTTCCAAGATATGCTGCAAAACAGTTTAAAACAAGTGTTAAAGGAGAGCAGTAAGTTCCTTCCAGTAGCTTTACTTCATTCGTTTTCAGCTGATCCTCCCACCCCACAGGCCATCGCTCTTCAGGCATCAAAGAGCGAAGTACGTCCTCTGGTAGGTAGCTCCTGTGTGTACGAGCTGCAGAGATTTCACCTGCACAGTCCTTCTCTCACACACACGTCAGGTTATCGTGAACTGAACTTCAGGGAAAGACCTTTATACGTTCCCTGATGTGTGTTCAGCAGCAGTATCGAAAGTAAAGACAAATTCTTCTCAGAAGAAAATCTCTATGGCCTGTGAAATCTAGAGGGTTATAAAAAAGAGACATTTTAAAAATCACTTTATAACAGCATTTTTTAACATTAAATATATTATTGCAATAAGAAATAATACACCTCTACCTCGATATAACGCTGTCCTCGGGAGCCAAAAAACCTTACTGCATTATAGGTGAAACCACGTTATATTGAACTTGCTTTGATCCCCCAGGAGCACTGCTTTACCGTGTTATATCCGAATTTGTGTTATATCGGGTCGCATTATATCGAGGTAGCGGTGTATTTAATAATGTGTCCATTCTGTTTAATACCATTGAATCACATTTCTAGAGCATCTTTTTTCATGAAAGATCCCCAACATGTTCTACATATAAGGCCAATATGACTAAAAATATGCCATGGGTTCATACCATTTTATCCTTTTGGTTTGAGGGTATGTCTACACTACCCGCCGGATCGGCGAGCAGCAATCGATCCAGTGGGGATCGATTTATCACGTCTAGTCTAGACACGATAAATCAACCCCCCGAGTGCTCTCCCATCGACTTCTGTACTCCACCGCCGCGAGAGGCGCAGGCAGAGTCGACGGGGGAGCGGCAACAGTCGACTCACCGCGGTGAAGACACCACAGTAAGTCAATGTAAGCACGTCGACTTCAGCTACGTTATTCACGTAGCTGAAGTTGCGTAACTTAGATCGATGCCCTTCCCCCCCCAGTGTAGACCAGGGCTGAGTGCCTCTGGCGAAAGTCCTCTCTGCATACGGGCTTCCTCAACTACAAATTCTCTCTTCCTTGAGTTCTGTTATGCTCTTTTCATTCCTCATTGACTCCCACTTCCAAATCTCCCCATCATGTATTTGCAATAAGGAGGATGGAAGTGAGGCTGGGAATTGGTGTGGGGGAAAGACTAGGGGGCTGAGTTGTGAAGAAAGGGATACTTCAGGGGTTTAACTTTGAAAAGAAAACAAAAAAAAAATTGAACTAATAGGATGTGCCTATCTTCACCCTTACCACTGTGCTTGTATGTTAATTGCTTCTCTTTACTTCATTCTTTGTCTGCCTTTTTTAGAATGCACCCTCCGAAACAATGACTGTGGTGCAGATCTTCAAAGATATTTAGGCATCTCACTGATTGATTTAAATAGGAGTTAGCCACCTAAATACCTTTGAGGCTGTGAGCCGTGTCTTTGCAAAGTACCTGCCAGAGTCTGGCTTCTACCATTATCTAAATACTAATAATAGATGGGCAGAATGCAATTTTGACATGACCATAGTAGCAAAACACCTGACTCATTCCAGCATGTTTGTAGTACATTATTGTGGTTGTAGAACTGAAGTGGCATCTTTAAAAGGATTTTAATGATCTAACAAGCAGTTTACAGTATCAGACTTGATGTTTTCAGCATGATTATGAATTAATTAGAATATCATTTTGGGCCTACCCATTACATATGAAAATTATGCTGGTAGACACATAATCTTCCAGGTTTAACAATTACTGTTCAAATCATAATTGGTAAATGCCATATACCTGAATATACATAGCAAGGGGATGTGATGGTGACAGTAATTCCACAGCAAGCAATATTGGTAAAATGCATAGAATTATTTTAAAATCTATCATGAGGAGGTTATTCAAAACCTTTTTATTAATGCCTTTTTAGGAGGTGTGGTAGTGAAATTATATATCTTCATATGTTCTGATACCCTTTGACTTGTGTACCTCAAAAGTATCTAATGGATGTTATACGTGATTGTTTTACCACACCTGTTTGCTGTTTTAACTCCTACACTAATGGCATACGCTTCCTCAAAATGTGAACAAGCTAGAATAATGCTCAGGCTGATCCCTCTGTCGATAGCCTACATTTTCAGAAAAGTGTGTGTGTGTGTGTGTGTGTTTGAAAATATGTGCACATTGTGTGTGCATCTGCCATGATTGCATGGCCAGACACAGTAACTGCATGCACATGTCATCAGTTAGCTGTCTGAAAAATCATTTGCATGTATAATTATTTGAGCACGCAAACACAATTGTGCATGAATTTTTTTAAAGATATGGGCCATAATTTTGTTTGTTGCTAATAATATACCATGATATGCTGTGATCCTGTCGGCTTTCACAAAATAAGCAACACTGAGTTGGTATTTTGATGTGCACCTTTTAAAAAAATACCCAAACAACCAGGTACTGGCAGTAGAGGTATTGTTGATATACGAGGTGGCACTCTTTCTTCTGAATCCGTACAGAAGAAATACCCTGAGGCATTGGACAGTTCTTCTCTTGGATGAGATGTAAAAATAAAGTCCTAAACACGGTACGATGGCACTAGCTGAAAGTGGTTAGGAGTATTTAACCCTGGTGTCCTGGCCACATTTCAAAATGTCTCATTTTAATCTGCCTAATTAAACTCCTCAAGAAGCTTCAATTAAATAAACTATCCTTTGCTGCCAGACCTAAGCTACAGCCTTCCCATTACTGTAGCTATTATTTTGCCAGAAGCCAGTGACATAAACCACATGGCTGAAGCTCAGGTTCTGTAATGTCACAAGAACTGTGACAAATTCCCAGCTCTGTATATGCAGTCTGGAATTATCTAATGGTTAATATAAAACTTTGGGTCAGTTTCATCCCTCAGATGTGTCCCATTTGAGAGCCCATGAGATGCTAATAGAAATCAAAGGGCAGAATTTGGCCATTACTGTTGCTATTCATTAAAGTGACTTTCCTCCAATATCATCTTTGCAGTAACAAAGGTAACGTTCTGCCTCTTCCTTCTCACCTACTGGTCCACTACCTCTCTTGCCACTTTCCTTACCTGTAACTCCCCTCTGTTTTTAACCAGATGATGTGGAGTAGATTTCAGTACCACCTATCAGCAAGTGCCTTGTCTTTTAATTTTTACTTTCTAATTGATAGAGATCTGCACATGCATTTAAATTTCCATGTGATAATTGTGAATGGTGCTAGATTAACAGTGCTGGCGAGGGAGGAGTGTCAGCAGAGTATATGTGCTTACAGGCATTGGCTCACTGCCTCACCATTCAGCTTCTACCCTCTCTAGAAGTGACACAGGAATTTGGGGTCTATACCCATATTATCTGATCCTTGGCTTCTCTGCTGAGTTGACACAGGGTTGCCAATTCAGGGTTATTGTGATGGTGTGTTTTATGCTGCTGACCAGGGCCGGCTCCAGGCACCAGCCCACCAAGCTTGTGCTTGGGGCGGCACCTGGAGGGGGGCGGCGCAGCGCTCCGGCCGCCGGGGAGAGCGGGGCCACGGCCGGGCTCGCCGCCCTCCCCCCAGCGCTCTGGCCGCCCTCCCCCCCCGGCTGCCGCCCTGCCCTTTCGCCGCCCTGCGCTCTGGCCGCCGAGGGGAGAGCCGGGGCTCGCCGCCCTCCCCCCTGTATAATCAGTACAGGCCTTCTATTATGTACTATAGTACAAACACTTTGTCTTATTGTTCAGCATTGGTGTTACAGCTGAATGATGAGACTGCAAACGTAAATACTTTGCCTATTCAGCTGTGTTAAATCACATGTCATGTTCTCTGTACAGTACATCCTGTGTTCCTTCTCCAGTGATGGCCTTTTAAATCACAGGTACAAACAATGTATTTTGAGGGTTGGGGGTTTGGGGAGGGAGTTGCTTGTCAACAGATGATACTCTAACAGCAAATATACTCTGAGATGAAGCAGAAGCGCTTTTATTTTTTTTTCCCCGGTAAAGCTTTTTCTGCAGATTTTAGAGACATGCAGGAACAATATATTCTGCAGATTCAGGACTCAAAAGAATTGATACTGCAGGTAAAGGAAAATGAACAAATATCTGGATGACCGACCTTGTCAAATGCTTGCTTGATGCATGTACCTCCATTTCATTACTTTTGTATTCATTTAGCTCTTTACGAATTGCTGCCTAGGAATTGAAAATGAAGGCAAGGTTAAAAAAATCATTTTGGATTTGTAAACATTTTTTTAATAGCAAATAAGAGCCCTTAAAAATAATCAAAACAGCAAATTCCATGTAAAGAGTGTGGTAGGCTACAACCAAAGGGCATGTGGCCAGCCAATACTGAGGAGAGCCAATATTCAGCTTCTCTCCATGCATACTGGTCACTGTCTTTTAAAGACATTGACATAAATACTATCATCAAAACCATTATTGCAAAGGATTACGCCACATCATCAGTCATCACTGACCAGCTGATCCTAAGACCCGTTTATAGAAGCAGTCCTTAGAGGAACATAAAATCATAATGCTCACTCCCCAACACTTAATGACACTCTGGTTAAATTAGTGAGCAGAAGCAGAGGTTCCTCAGCCAGCAACTGGACAGTTGAAATGTGGAGAGTTTCAGTACTGACCCATTTCAAAATAAAAATCAGACTGCATTGTTACAATATGCAAATAATGGACCAGATGTTATAGTCATTTACATGTGTGGTGTTGCGCAATCATATATGAGGGGGGAAATTTCCGTCTTGGTACATTACACACCATAAAATCCAAAACAGCTGTAAATCGATTTGTTCCCTTTCCCCAAATGACTACTGTTAATGGCCTGGATCAGACTGGAGTGCTTTTGTAAATTCATACATACTACTACTATGTAATTTAGCTACCTAAACTTGTGAAGCTTTAACACACAGGCATGTGTCAGATCAGAGATGTGGTTTATTGGAAGAAATAAAAATGTGGGGGAAAGTAATATAATTTTTGCCAACCAATAAATGGATTTTTTTCAGCCCCTGAGATGTGAATGTAAGTTTGTCAAGTGAATGAGAGAGCTAAAACTTTAATTGCATGCTTACTTTAAAATTAATAGCTCACAGGACAGGACAAAGGGTTCCTTGAAAGGGTCGGACAATGACTCTCATGTTTCACACTAGATTAAGAACTAGGGTGAGCGGGTGCAACATTACTGATTTCTATGGAGATGCACCATTTACACCATGATTCAGTTTGGCCTAACGACTGACACAAAATCCACTCTTGGATTCAATGGGCTGCAGTACACATCTAAGGGTGAAATCTGGCTTAAATTTTTATCTGACTCTCAGTTCCAATTTCAGATAATACCTTGTAGAATAATTGCAGGGGCTGTAACCCAATGAGTGGGAGTTCTGTTAGAAACCAAATATGTCATATATATTTTGATAAGTGTCTTTAGCAAAAACACAACAAAACACAACAGCCTTGGGCACTGCTCCCACTTTAAAAACGCTACACACTGATATGAGATCCCTTCAGCCTCAAATCTATACGACTCAAATACCTAGACCTGAATGTTGATTATCCCAAACTACCAATAAAACTTCTGCTTTACAGCATTGATTATCACATAATACCGTTCAACATAATACTCCCTATAAGCACTTTTAAATGAATTCGGGAAGGCAGCTAAGACAAAGATGGCAAATTAAAAATAAATCCTAAATGTTAGAGTTCTCTAAAGCCATTTATTACACTATTCATATATTTTCTACCTTCTTGTTGGGAAACTCTTCAGCACATGTGGGAGTGAGAAAGACATGTCTGATTTCCATAGCCCAGGATCAAGCAGTGAGCAATCTAGTCCAATAATTAGCTCAACATCCCCAGTTGTTCTCCCAACCTCCTTAGCCAAAACTTTAAAACTGCTTATTCAGCAACCATTGTAGCCTGATTCATTGTAAGCCATTTCCTTACTACCCAGTAGGGTGACCGGACAAGCAAGTATGAAAAATCGGGACAGAGTGTGGAGGGTAATAGGTGCCCATATAAGAAAAAGTCCCGAATATCGGGACTGTCCCTATAAAATCGGGACATCTGGTCACCCTACTACCCAGCCACTTAAGTATGAAGTCTAGGATCATTTAATACTGTAAATCAAATATATGAGAGAAACAAGGTGAGTGAGGTAATATCTTTTATTGGCCCAACTTCTGTTGGTGGAAATGACAAGCTCTGTGAAGCTCAAAAGTTTGTCCCTTCCACCAACAGAAGTTGAACCAATAAAAGATATTACTGCACCCACCTTTTCTCTCATATCCTGGGACCAACAGGGCCACAGCAACACGCCCCAAAAAATCAAATATATGGTAAGCATGTAATAAAGTGAAAATGTGTGTACTCTAGATTGGCCACTCTCATGGCTAGTGGAAAAGTGCTTTCCTTGGGAGTTCATCAGTAGAGAATAAAGTAGTGATGTGTACCTGTTTGTAACAAAGATTTTGTACTGAGTAACTTTGGGGTAAAGTTTGGGCCTAGATTTCTCAGACACTACAGTAATGGGTGGCAAAGATCTATGATAGATCGTGTAGTATACTGCACTCCATACTTTTTCTAATAACTATTTGTTGTTTTGTTTTTTTTTAAAAAAAAGCCTTTTCACTATTAAAAGGCATGTTTTACATCCCGTGGTCAGTGTGGCTTCTGTATGTTGAAAATGCAGGAACATTTAAAGTACTTAAATCTGCATCAGCTATTAGTACCTCATTGAGAGAGAGAGAAAGTGTGTGTGTGTGTGTAAGTACACCTCTACCCCGATTTAACGCTGTCCTCGGGAGCCAAAAAATCTTACCGTGTTATAGGTGAAACCGTGTTATATCGAACTTGCTTTGATCTACCGGAGTGCGCAGCCCCTCCCCCCCCCGGAGCGCTGCTTTACACGTTATATCCGAATTCGTGTTCTATCGGGTCGCGTTCTATCGGGGTAGAGGTGTAACTTCAGAGTACAAAATTTGGCTCATGGGGAGTATTGAGTGTCACTTTTACCAAGAGCAAACACTCATTCCAAGATGTATTTCCTTAGAATATCGAGACTTGTTTAGTAATACCACTGTTTACATGACCTGAGGTACTGCTTACAAGCAAAGCAAACAAAAAGACAGTAGTCTTAATTATATTTGTAAGTATGTCTGTACCTTATCAGCTGCTGATAGTCTTGTCCAGGGTTTGTCTGCTCGTCTGTCGTAGTCCTGTGCTTTTGCCACCTCTACATAATCGCTGAATCGAATTAAAATTTTTCTGTCTCTTAGTTCATCGACTGTAGGTCTCTGATTGAGCTGTATTAATAAGTTTTGTAAAGAAGTATATCAATATGAATAGGAAGTAAAATTGAGACATACAGTCAACAGCACAAAAATGGAATCACATGCATTTTTATTCCCCGTCTTCATTTTGTGTATTGTCTATTTATGTATATAAAATATACATCTATTTAAACTGAAAAGATTTGAAATTGATTAATTCGTCTTAAATGCACAGGAACACTGAGATATAGAGCCAGATTCTGATCTGATTTACATGGGTAACGCCATCATTCCAGATTCACAGTGTTATAACTGGGTTCAGAATCTGTCCTACAGTCAGTGAGTGAAACTTATCTATGATTAGAAACATTAGGATAGTTTTTGTAAAGGAAAATAATTAATTTTAATACTGTGCTATCTTTAGTCTTTCTACAAAGGCATTTTTCTATTAACTAGACTTCGCTCTCCATGTGCCTTTATCTCAAGGAGCTACTGAAACGCTTTTGAGTATTATTGTTAAACAGTAATAATGGGGTAAATGGAGCTGAGGGCTATTGTACAGTGGCTTTATAATGGAACATCTTGTCACACACAGCTTTATAAAGCTGAAGTTGCAATATATTTCAAGTAACCACAATGAATTACAATGTAGGGCTCAATCTTGCAAAATTCCCATAACTTTGTCTGAATAAGGGCTTCAGGATTAGGCCCAGTGTAAGAACTACAGACCCAAGGCTTAGCAAACTGTCATCACAATGTGCCTTTGAATATTGCACTGTGTTACCACTGACTCCCGTGGGGACTTCTGCAAACAGAACAATGACAGGATCAGGCCTAGAATCTGATAGACCTTCAAATGAAAAGGTCTGCAAACAGAAATTTCAGGCAGGAACGCACCTGCTGCTCAGCAAGGAGGCAGCTTACTCTGGGATTCTCACTGCTACGAACAGTGGAAAGGAACTGCTTTCCTAGCAATATAGTTGCAAAATCTGCAGTATGAGGCAAATGATCTCAAATTAGCTGATTTTAGGTTCTTTTGTAAATTTTCCATTAGCCTCTCAAATACAGTGAGCGCCATTTTAAGAGCCAACATTTGTGGATAATTATCTGAGATATTGTAGTTATTTTCTATTCTAGTTATTAAACACTACTTTCATATATCATTGTATATACATGTTGACTTTTGAATGGTGACCACCACGGCTGTTTGTCTTTAAAATGATTTAAAACATTTAGATACTGTTTTTACTCTGGGCTCTTTGTTATTAGTTTGCACTCAGCTTTTTAAATGTCACTGAAAACATTTCAAGATGTTACCTTTCTCGTCAGCCTCTGCTTGATTTCCCTTCTTTCTTCCTGCTCTGTTTGATCATTTCTTTCTGCAGAAAATATAAAAAAAGAGATGACTTTCCTCATGTAGGAAGATCAGCTGTTTCCAATACATCCAGGCAATAAAAGTTACAATATGGAGAAGCGTGGTGCTGTTCCTTAGTCCTTCTGAATTGCTAGCTCAGTCCTTACTATGCCTGCTTGGTGCATTGCCAGAATATACAGCTACCTTTCAATGAGGACACAGAAGCACGTATGCCAATGTCAGCTTTTCCTGTGACATAACCTCCAGTTACAATGAGCTTTAATAAACATAAAGCAGCCAGTCCAATTCTTCAGCTAGATAAACTTTTAGAGGGAAAAGCAATACCTTTAAAATTTTGAATGATTGTTTGTTATGCCATGTCTTTGTTAGAGTCCTGTCACACTTGCATTAAGATGCTGAAACATTTTCCTGTACGTACTTCAGGGACAGCATGTACCTCGTGAGCTTATGCTCTCAGGCTTCATATTTAGTTGGTCACGTTGCTACGCTATTCATCCTTGACTTACACACTATCCCTTTCCCTCTACTACTCAAGATATGCCAATTGTATTAGAGCCTCTTTATACTCACAGGTTTTCTTCTGTGATATTCTGTTCTAACCTAATCCAGTTTGCTTTTGTGTGGTCTCTTAACATTCAAGCCGTGATAACGCCTACACACTGGATCTAAAAATAGACTCGAGTCCTGTACCATTGTGTGAAATATAGTCTTTGCCTTAGGAGACTACTTAATGGATTTTCTATTTCTAGTGCAATCTGTTACTAAATTTAGACTCAAGTCCATGACCTAAATGCTAGAGACCTAGGGAAAAGATGTTTAACCATTCAGTGAGCCTAGAGAGCAGTGGATTTCAACCTTTTTTCATTTGCTAAAAAAATTTGTATGGAGATGCAGACCCCTTTGGAAATCTTACACATAGTCTGCAGCCCCCAGGGGTCCGTGGACCACAGGTTGAAAACCACTGCTATAGATAACAGTGTTATAATAGTCTCTCAGTTAAGCAAAAGCCATATTCTGTTAAATGTTGTCAGAGTTAAACTATTGTGTCTTAAAAGGCTATTTTTGGAAATGAGCCTTTTCTTGCCCCTCCCCTTTTTCTGTATTCTTTAGATTACATTGAAATACAGATACATGAATCTATTTAAAGAAGTATTGTAGCAACATATCTGCAACTAAGTAAACAGAAAATGTAAATCAGAGAACCTAAAATCACACAGTACACTATAGTGGTGGTGTATATGACTTTGAAGTAGAGTACATGAGACTGATGATATGGCAGTGTTTCAGAAGTGTCAGTGAGATGACCAAAGATTTAGATGGCAATTGTCTGCAGTATCTGAGGAGGAAATATGAAAAAATGGGGAAATATAGCTTTAAAAAAATTGAACATGCTATGTAATGGCAAGATGCCCCTAGGAAGTACCTAGCATGCCTAGTTCAATATTTATTAACCCCTTTTTAACTAGACCTTATGGTTGTATTTTCACTTAAAAAAAAAAAAAGCTGTTCTCCATCAATTTAAATGTCCATCAGAATATAGACATGATGCATTCTACATGGGCACTGGATGGTTTTCTAAGATGGAAACACGAATATGCCTATCCGGTCTGAAGAGTGTTTTTTGTCGTTTTGAAATGCTAAGCACCCATCATGGTCTGTATCGATAATGGCACATCTAGATTTAGGTAAATTAAACTTGTTTTGCTTAACAATTGTGGAAGTAGAAAAAGCAATTCATCAGGAAGCATATGCAAGATCTTGGTAAACTTTACCTATCTGATGGAAGGAAGTGTCAGCAGGGATATTACAGAATGCAAACATTAGTACAGAGAAGAACTAGAGAGGTTTTCACAGCAACCTCACATTGCTGAATTTGGATTCATTCATTAGTAAATGGCTGTAATGGGACTATTACTCCATTGAGATGTGTAACACTACACATCTCAATGGAGTAATAGTCCCATTACACAGTGTCACATGCAGCAGTGTAACTCACACCCTTGCTCTGTATGAGTTATGCAGGGAATTCTAAACTGTGCATGACATGGAAGCAATCACCAGTGTTAAGAATGAAGCAGGGATTGTACAATCCGATGTAAGAGAAGCTGCCTGTTTGAATATGAATATCAATGGCTTGCTCTCAGAATATAATAGAAAACCCATCTGAATTCCTGGGACTGATTTTTAGGTTTGAACACACAGTTACTGTGGCAGTCATGCCCTGTACTGAACAAGCAGTGTTCTTCCATACTTAAAGCTATAGGAATGAATAAAATCAATAAGATTATAAGTGTTGGGGTTTTTTAAGTACCTCTCTTATCCAAGAGTTGCCTCCATGAGGGAGAGTAAACAAAATTATTTCTCTTCATCTCCTGAATACTTTAAAAAAGTAACATCATAATAGCACTTACAAATCATGAGGTCGCACTGATTTCAGTGGGAGTACTAACATAATCATGGTTTGGCAAGATCAGATCCAATCATGCTCTCATTAAAGTCATTGGGAACAGTGTCAGTATCTCTGTCACTAACTTGAACACTGACTTTTCAACAGCTGCAGTCAAATTATTTACCCTTCTTTGTCACACGTTCTAATGTGCCTGCTGGCCCAGTGATGACCTGGGTTCTTTGCAATGTAGCTGACACTTTTATGTAATGAAAAAGGTAAAGTAAGTAGAATTGTGCAGCTTCTGATCCAAGTGTACCCCGTGCAAACCCAGAGTAACTGCGCTGAAGCTGACAGAGTTGCTCTAGATTTATGCATGGTAAATCTAACCCAGTATGTTTAGCTGGCATTCAGGACATATCTTTAATTCTGCTTCATCTTCTGTTCTGCTTTAGCTCCCTCTGTAAGCTCATTATATGAATGTAACACAATGTGGGTTTTTTTATATATTAAAGCTGGTCAGTTTAACCTAGATTAAGGATGTAGCCAGCGTACATCAGAAAGTAACAAACATGAAGGACCAGATTCTCAGAGGAGCTCAGCTCTGATTTAGACCAGAGAATGAAGGGAGCAGGTTTTCAATGGGAGATGCAGAGTGTTCCACTCTTTTGCAAATCTGGCCTCAACTGATACAGACATTTTTAGATCAATTAATTTTCCTTTTGAGAGCTAGGGGTTGAGGTTAAAGTGGGTTAATATGTTTACAGGTCACAAGAATTTGTGTTGTGTTATTTGTATTTTTGAATATGTGTAAATAAATCTGTGTATGCATTGAGTGGGTTATTAGTTTACATGTCACAAGAACTATTTACAAAGTAAATGGTTTGATGTACTTGAATAACTGAACCAACCGAAGATGACCAAGGAGTCCCCTTCAGTTCCCTCTGTCTCCAAATCCTATTGACTTCAATGAGAGCAGCATCAGGCCCTCTTGTATAAACTGATAAGAAAGAAAAAGCAGCATGCAATCCAAATACTCACAAATTAAGGTGACACTGTAATCTTTGTGGTCATGCTGCTGTTTTCCTCTTTCTTAGTATAATTTGCCTATACAGTTCTAGTTTTCTCCTTCAGGAGAAAAATTGGGATGCACAATTTAACTTTGTAAAGAAGACCCTTCCTAAATCTAAACCATTCTGGAAAACTAATGTCCCCCATGTTCACAGGGACTTCCTTCTTCAGTTTAAGCAAGAAAATGAATCTGTCAAACACCTGAACAAATGGTCAGATTAGAACATCAGGCTCATCTTGTGACATGAAATTATGATTAAAGTAGGCAAATTATTTAGGCAATTTTGTGTACTAGTGAAATACAACCCTCGAAATGATTAGATCTGATTTAAAAGCCAAAGACAGCATTGCTTTCATAGAATGCAAACACGTATTCCATTAAGTTGTTCAAGCTTGTTTGAACAAGTAATTGGTTATTTTTCACATAATAAAGTCTTTTACATTTTTGGTGCTAAGATACACCATGAATAGAGCAGAATGTATGATACTTTTCCTTAAAGCAGTGGAACTCCACCTTTTCCATCCAGATACCCCATGTGACAACAGAAACAATTTTCAGGATTCCCCTGTTCTCATCATTTTGGGGATTCCCCGGCCATCTAAAGGAAGTTCAGCAAATGTCTCCAGCAGCTCAGACAATAGTAACAGGCAAGGAGTTTGATACCCTTGAACTGTCTCAATTTGCCTTTTCCTGTCTTTAATTCAGTTTCTGTTTAAATTAGAAAGGTCAGGAATGGATCTGATGCAATTTACTTGCTAGGAAAGTCACTGTTCTGCAAGGATGCTTATGTGCTTCACTTTGGCATTGATGGATTTTAATTGACAGTGTGCCCTGACTCTTTGTAAAATGATAATCGAGGTGATTGCTAAACTGACTCACACCAAGACCATGCTTCCTTCCTCATGCAGCCATAACAGCAGGAATTATTTGAAAATTTACATTTGTATTCCTTTTTTCTGCATTAAGTGGTATGCCTTCAGACAAGTACACATATTAGACACCAGAACACACCCCAGTGAAAATTCCATTGGTTACAAATCCATTCCCAAAGGGAGGGCATGAACTTGTCTACAGCGGAGAAATGGCTCGGAGAAGTGTATTCAGTAGTTTCAAAACAAACATACGCAATGCTATTATTGTTTTAAAGTACTCACGTTTAAGTATATTCCTTCTTTCGAGCTCCTCGACAGCAGGTCTTTGGCTCAGGCGCCTGCGGAAAAACACCAAAATCACATTTTGTACCATGTCTGTTCTTGCCAAAGTCTGTACTGGGCTAGGTGCAGGTGTTGGGGTTTTCCTCAGAAAATCATCTCCGGTCAGTGAAGGAAGGGAATCCTGAAAGCTGGATATTTAGTTCTTTTATTCTTCCCAAATGCCAGCAGTGCAGGTGGAAGTTTTCCTCTAGTTTGCTCTGCTATCAGTGTAATCCTTCCCTGACGTATACATTCTTTTCATCCTATTTTCCAAACAAAGTCAGCTGAAAATAGTGCCCCACTACAGTTACATTCATTCTTGAGGAGGCATTTACCCTGAGAATCAAATGGGGTTCTTGGAAATCTTCTGCAGCAATTACTGCCTCCGCTCATGTAGCAATGGGTGCCTCTTTTCTAGCATCAACAACGATACATCCTGAAAGAACATCGCCTTGCTAGGAATAAAGCCTCTCTATGCAGGGTGGTTTCCTGGTTACAGATCTGACAGAGCAGTCCACTAGCTTTACTAGTGCCTGGTGAATAAAATTCATGTGCTGCTCACAGCTTCCTGCTGTCTGAACCGAGTGAGTGTCTTCTGCAGCTTCACCTCCCCTTTCAGTAGTGCTGCCTCAGGATTGAGTCTTCAAATCATATGATCAGTGCCAGAGCGATTTTATCTTGCATACCAAATGAGACTTCCCCAAGAGATGCTGCTAATATCTGCAGAGAATCTCAGGGTAATTGAACAACCACACACAAGCACTTATAGTTACTGCATTTGCTAGCTTTCGAACAATAATCCAGCCAACAGAGAGATAAAAGGGTTTCTACTGATTTCTGGCAATATTAAGGATCCTCGCTTCCTGCCTGAAATAGATGTTACACTGTAGGAGTCTGGAGGTTCCAAAGCCAGCGTGATTGCCAGCAACGGGCTAACACGGAGACTCGCAGGCACCATGAGAGTGATTCTAGTATCACGGTAAATAAAGGGCAGAATTCTAAAACGATCTTATACCGTTGCACTGTGTCGAACACAAAAGAGAACAGACACTAAAATGATGAGTTAACGTCTCTGATGCTAGGTTTCCCCCCAGCATTTGTCTCCTGATCAAATTCACTACTGAAATCAGTTCCTTGGATTTGCCTGGCAGCATCAGGATTCAAGCACAAAATGAACCCTGGCAGCCTTCATGAACGCGCCTCCTTTCCTTTTTGTTTATTAATTCCCCTAAAACCACTGACAGGGCCAAATCTACGCTCAGTATCACTGGTGTAAATGTGGAGTAACTCCACCGAGCACGGTTTAGCTACTCCTGATTTACACCAATGTAAATGGTAGCAAGATATGGCCCCATGAGCTTTAGTGCTTCAGTAACAACCCCTGTACCCAACTCCAGCCATTCTTCCTTCTATTCCCAAGGATTTTTTGTGGGTGTCTTTGATTTCTCCTTAGACTTAATGGAGCAGGTCCTATACCTCAGCCTAATCCTACTGAAGTGAATGGAGCTATGCAGAAATGCACCAGTTGAGAATGTGGCCACATGTTTTTAATTCAGGGGTGGGCAAATTTTTTGGCCTGAGGGCTGCACTGGGTTTTGTAAATTGTATGGAGGGCCGGTTAGGGGAGGGAGTCGTGGCCCAGCCCCCACCTCCTATCTGCCCCCCCCAGGACTCCTGCCCCATCCAAACACCCCTTCTCCCTGTCCCCTGACTGCCCCTGGAACCCCTGCCCCTGACTGCCCCCTGCCGCCCCATCCAACCCCCCCTCCTTCCTGACTGCCCCCCTGGGACTCCTGCCCCCATTCAACCCCCCTGTTTCCCCCCCTGACCGCCCCGACCCCTAGCCACACCCCCGCCCCCTGACCACCACCCCGAATGCCCCTGCCCTCTATCCAACCCCCACTGCTCCGTGCCCCCTTACCGCACTGCCTGGAGCACTGGTAGCTGGCGGCACTATAGTCGCGCCGCCTGGCTGGAGCCGGGCCACGCCACCACGCAGGGCAGAGACCGGGTCAGGCCGGGCTCTGCAGCGGTGCTGCCCCAGGAGCTCACAGCCCCGCCGCCCAGAGCATTGCGCCGGTGGCGGAGCGAGCGAGCTGAGGCTGCGGGGGAGGGGGAACAGTGGGGGAAGGGCCGGGGCTAGCCTCCCGGGCCAGGAGCTCGGGGGCCGGGCAGGAATGTCCTGTGGGCCAGATGTGGCCCGCAGGCCATAGTTTGCCCACCTCTGTTTTAATTCCTATTGTCCCTCCTCACCCCCCCCACCCCCATCCCATCACTGTATGTCTTAGCACTGATAAAATTCCCTGAGGATGTTTTGTTTCAGAGAGATTAACATGCTCTTCACAATCCGGATCAGGGAAGAGTGACTTACTCTGTGACTTTATCTGTAAATCAAAGGGCCACCAGGCCTGCTGTTCACATGCCTCTCTATCAAACCATTTTTAATTACACCACGTCCATGTGATGTTTATAGATTCTCCTAGGAACTGTACATTAGATTCTGAAGGACCTTTAAACTAGAGGATTAAAAATCTAACCAAGAATATCAAAGCAATTAAAGCAGTGTTCTGAGTGCTTATGAATATTGATGATTTGTATATTTGTGTGTTATGGTAATCCCGGACTTTTTAAAAGCCACCCTCCCTTTTTTTGCACCCACAAATAAAACCTGTAAATCTCTCACTGGAAAAAAAAATGTGTTGGTGACAGAGTCAAGTCTCCATTGACAATCAGACAATTGAAACCAGTTTTCTTCAAAGCACTTGTGCCTAAATTCACTATCACATGATGCAGGACCAGATTTTCACAGCTATGTGCACACACACCATATCTGCATATGTAATTACAGAAACTGCACATGGTAAATACACATGAACACGACCAGGCAGGCAGCTAATAAGCCCTTTTTTACAGTATTGACAACCTCAAATATTCAGCAATCAAGAGTCAGCCCTCCTCCCCCCCCCAAAAAATCATGAAATTGGCTTAAAAATATGACTTTTAAAAAATATTTTTATTTGCCTTCTTGGTTTTGAGCCTTTAGGGTGCACTTGGACCAAATTTGCAAGCTTCTCTCCACAGCCATGAGTGCCAGAAACTCACTTGTTCTTAAAACACAAGATGAAAGTCTCATGAAATGACATGATTCCAGAAGCTGGGGCTTTAAGAAAAAAACATATATCCAGACCCTTATGATAACATCGTCAGAGATGTTAACATTGTTGATGTTTGAGTACCCTGGTGTAATTCCATGCAGTTGTTATATATACTGCTCAGGTGGGATATTTGTCTTTATTTGTCCTCCATCACTGTGGTATGTGAGCACTTCCGTGGTTTCTGAACATATAGTGGAATGTAAAGGCCTCTTTCACTAGAGCTGCACTCACACACATGGGAGAAGGGCAGGCAGCCAGCAAAGGTTAATGGGTCCAGCTGCTTCCCTCCCTTTGTTCTGATTGGAAAGGAGAGAAGGCAGCTGCGTGTAGCCCAGTCAGGGAGAAGAGGGCATCTCTAACTCTAGAAGCCCTCTTCAGAAAGGTGGAGAGATTGAAGAGAGAGAGAGAGAGAGAAAGGCAGGCAGGCTTTTCTGGCTGAGAGGTTCTCAAAGGGCTGAACTGCTTCCTGATGCTTGTTGCAAGCTGCTCTGGAGCAGTCTGTATCTGTGAGTACTGGGGCTTGCTCCCTTTTCTCTCTACTGAAATGTTTCACTAGGTCTCCTGAGGAGGGGACTTTTCTGCTTTGAAACAGGAAGCTGGGGGTGAGCTGAGAACTTCCTGACTTTGCATATGTTCTGGGCCTTCTGCACAGGACTTAGCCATTCCTAGTGCCAAGAAACTGCAGTTGCTTTCTCAATACTGAGGGCTACATTCACCTCAGCTGTGTAAGCACAGCCTGCCCTGTCCAGGGGGACCCACAGAAGTTTCCCCTGGGTGCTCTGTAGGCCCTTACCAAATCAGCCAATCTTTCAGCCACACTGACCAGGCCCTCAACCTAGCCAGCAGCACCCCATTTCTCCAAAGGAGGGGTTGCAGCCATCTTTCACCCTGCTGCGGCCTCCTCTTGGTAGGCTGCCCCTGCCTGAGGCCCTCTGCCTTGTTTCACGTCAGTGGGACTAAGAGTAAACAAGGAACAACTGTGGTTCTGAACTGCAGGCTCCTCCACTGTCAGTGTGATGAGGAGAGAGCTGAGGATGTGCCTTGGTCAGAGGAGTGTTTCTTTTTTAATAGTGTATTTTAGCTGTCTGTAGGGCTGCCAACTATCCAGGATTGTCCTGGAGTTGTCAGGAATTAAAGATTGTCATGTGATGAAATCTCCAGGCATTTATCCAACCAAAGTTGGCAACCCTGGGTCTGTGTTTTGAACCTGTTAACATCTCTGCTGGGGAGAATTCCACTTCAGGCTCTGTAAGCAAGGAGCCATCCCTTCCCTACTTGGTAGTCCATGCTGAGAACTCAATAGCACTCTTTGGATTTCCCCCCAGCCTTAAAAAAAAAAAAAAAAAAAAAAAAAAAAGCCTTCCCATTTTCCCTGAGCTCTGTGAGCCTCCCTGAAAAGAGATCAGCTTGATCCTCAGGACGGCAGCATTACTGTCCTAGAATCTCCTCTCTGTGCAAGGCAGTCAAGTGTAACTTGGCAGGAGAAATGACTTCTCTTGGGGATTTGGGTTTGTTTTTTTCCCACCCACTATTAGAGGGAGCAGGTGTTGTCAAAGATGAGGGCTTGTTACAGGAAACACTAATATCCTCTGTATGCTTTAACATCTCCAGCAGTTTAAAGGCTAAAAGCAGATTTCAGGCCACAGCTGGGAGCTCTTGCTTTGTAATTTTGGAGGACAAGATGGTAAGCAAGTCGAAGTCTACAAAGAGGCTGAAACTGAGCAGCGAGTGGACTTAGCCAGACTAACTGTAGTGTCTGTGCCAGCTCTCCCTGAAAGGGTGACAAGACAAATTTTAAGAGTTCAATTGATTTGTAAAGGATGGAAGAACTGCTGTCCTTATTAATATGATTTTCACATTGA